GTGTTTAGGCTTGTTTGATTAAACACTTATGAAGTTAAGCACGTCTTGGTTATTAACATTTGTGATTTGACAACTTGGATAGCTTTTCTTGAGCCCCTTTGTTGACTTCAGTTGGTGGTACCATCATGGATTTATTCTGTTTTTCGATTGCCCTAACTTTTGCCTAAAACACCCATTTGTGGAGTTTTAGCGGGCTTTTGTTTTAAAAATAGGTTCAGTTTTTTCGTTTTATTTTAAAAAATTAAATCTGGTTCAGTTTTATTATAATTGGTTCTAGTTTTTTTAAAATGGTTCGGTCTAGTTTTAAATTCAGTTCAGTTTTTTTAATTTTTTTGAACACCCCTATATACAGGCAGAAGCCAAAATAGTTAAAGGACCACATGAAGATGTGAAGAACTATCTTGAAGCAATTGATCAGCTGAGAAGAAACATTAGATTTTTTGGCAATAAGAAGGGTTTTAAGAGTGATGATAGTATTGTCATCCATGCCAATAATTTGATATCCGAAGCTATTTCTAAGCTAGAAGATGAGTTTGAGCGGCTATTATCATCTTACAGGTTTGTATTTCTTTGCTTAATGTTGTTGATCTTTTGAAGTGTTCAACCAAAATTTTATTTTCTTGCATAAACATAATCACCATTGATAATTCTTTGTCTCAAGTAAATGACATTTCATTAGATAAATCAGTCTTTAATACAAAATTGAAGCAGAAGTCTGGTATCAGTCAAGTCTTGCTGCTAACATACAAGACTTTTTTTTCTGATCATTATATTTTTATATATAATATGAATTTGGTTTATAAACAAGCCCAATGACACTATGGTCCATGTAGGTGACCTCATCTACTGGGATAGGCTACTGTTTTTGTTGTATAATATGAATAGTATTTATGATTTGAAATAAATTTAATCCATTTTCAAGTTTATGTTGATGTTTCCCTCTTGTATCATCCTTATGGTTATTATACTTGAAAGGGTCTTGTATTTTTGTTGTAGTAGGTCTTTTGCGTTATAACTTTCAAAGGATTAGTTTGTCCATGATTCTAGGGGTGGTAACAACTTGATGGTGTCCTTGATATTATTAATCTTTGAAATATCTTCAAATTATGTAGGAAAATGGTTTACTTGGTATAGAAGCATAATGGTATTCTTGAGGAGCCTTTGAGATTCTGCCTAACATTTTTTTTAATGGTGAAAAATATATTTATGTAATTTTGCACTATCTCTTGATCTGAGTAATTACAGTAAACCTGTTGAACCTGATCTATTGAACCTTTAGGCACTTTTGACCATCTCTCCTCTCTTCATCATCTTCCTTAGTTGGCCATGGATGAAGATCGTGATCATCTCATCATTAGACTATATTGAGCTCTACATTACATGTCAGAAGCCAAGTCAAACTAGAGCGTCAGGTCCACCACCAAGGACAATAAATCTCTAGGGTGCTTGCTCGTCTAAATATTCCACCGAGCTCTAAAGAAGTCAATGGTGCAGCGGTGACATGGCAGATGACGTGCCAGCTTCACTTGAAGTCCAGAAATTAATTCCAAGCCCAGATAATTATTAAACTGCCCTGAAAATAAAAATTAGAATAATTATATTCAGAAAATTCAAATTAGTTAAAATATGAATTACCGATCCAATTAAAGCCCAAATAGAAAACAGTGCAGAATATAAACAATTAAGCACAAATCAGAGATTAAAATAAGTACAGAAATGTAAGAAAATAAGGGAAAATAATGACTCATCAATGACTTATATATATTGAATGCAAGATTTAGTAATATTTAAAAATGCAAGAATATTTGTATGAAAATAACCATGCATAGTCTCGTAAGTCTATATATCATGCTAATTTTGTTTGATTATGGATTTCAAAGACTTACTCTTTACAACAAACTACTTACGCTCAAAAGCTACGCCTTACGAACATTTTCTTACTAAAAAATATAGTGTTTGTTATCATTAAAACTTATAAAACATGAGGGATCTAAAATCGTCTTTTAATTTAACAATCTCCCTATTTTTTATGGTGATAAACATATTTTTGAATATAGCTTACTTTACCCGGGACGAGATCTCCGGGCTCGGGCGTGGTCTGTCCAGATTCCGAGCTGACGTTGTTCAACGCGTGCCCGGGATGACCCTTATAATATCAACCCGGGCTGAGAGCCCGAGTACGAAATGCGGTCAGTACACTTATATTTAAGACCAATAATATAAACATTAATTTATTTTAGTGAGAAATCCTCTATAACATTAAGTAAAATTAATTATTAAATAAGAATTGAAACATATGTTAAATTCGAAGCAGAGCTTACATTTTTCAATGAGTTTTATATAAATTTAACTTGATAAAAAAATAATTTAATACCGATACATGGTCAGTATTAAGGTTTTTACTGTACCAACTAATTAAAATTTACTTCATAAATTTTTTTTAAAGTAATTAGTTGTCAATTATGTTTTCTAATCTAAAACCAAATGCATGGTAGGCATTGTGACGACAAATGGAGGCCATGGCCTGGGGTGGGGATATTAATTTGGTCCATGGATCTATTACAAAGGTTCGTTATATATACATTTCCTTTTTTTTTCTATAAGTATATCTTCTTTTTAAAAAAAAATAATTAAAATTTTAAAATATTGTTAATTTTTTATTTTCAATTTTTAATTTTAATTTTATATTTATAACATTTAATTTAGTATTTTTTTATATATATTTTCTCTTTTTTTTCAATTTTTATATACACTTCTTTATCTTTTTTTCATTTATCTATTTTGGTAGCATGTAAAAATTAAAAAAAAAAAAAATATGAAAAAAAATAACAAATTAAAAATTGAAAGTGTAAAATTAAAAAATTTTAAAAAATATAATATTTTATAATTTTTTTAAAAAAATTAAGGAAATATACTCATAAAAAAAAAGTATACTTATAAAAAAAAGAAATAGAGGTGTATAATGATGAGCCATCACCAAACCCTCCAACATCAGCCCAGTATGGGAGATGCATAGTTGGCATTGCATTTTACTAAATACATGTTTGAATAAAACCCGCGAGCGTGTCACCGGAGAGGGACAAAGGGGGTTGCGAGGGAGCGTGTGAGATTGTGAGAAGGAAGAGACTCATAAACTCATCCAAATTCCAAACCCAATCCAGGAAAGAAGATGGCTCGGAATGAGGAGAAGGCGCAGTCGATGCTCAACCGCTTCATAGCGATGAAGGCGGAGGAGAAGAAGAAGCCCAAGGAGCGCCGCCCCTTCCTCGCCTCCGAGTGCCGCGACCTCTCCGAGGCCCACCGCTGGCGCCAGCAGATCATGCGGGAGATCGGCCGGAAGGTGGCCGAGATCCAGAACGAGGGCCTCGGGGAGCACCGCCTCCGCGACCTCAACGACGAGATCAACAAACTCATCCGCGAGAAGTCCCACTGGGAGCGCCGCATCCTCGACCTCGGTGGCCCCAACCTCACCAAGCACTCCGCCAAGATGACCGACCTCGACGGCAACATCGTCGACGTCCCCAACCCCGGCGGCCGCGGCCCCGGCTACCGCTACTTCGGCGCCGCCAAGAAGCTCCCCGGCGTCCGCGAGCTCTTCGAGAAGCCCCCCGAGCTCCGCCGCCGCCGCACCCGCTACGACATTTACAAGCGCATCGACGCCAGCTACTACGGCTACCGTGACGACGAGGACGGCGTGCTGGAGCGCCTCGAGGGCCCGGCCGAGGAGGCCATGCGGCGGGCGGCGGCCGAGGAGTGGAGAAGGCTGGACGAGGTGAGGAGGGAGGCTAGGCGGAGCGTGAAGAGCGGGGAGGTGGCGGAGGTGACCGTGGCGGCGAGGGAGGTGCTGAAGGAGGAAGAGGAGGAGGTGGTGGAGGAGGAGAGGGAGAGGGAGAGGGAGGAGGAGAGGGAGAGGAGGGAGTTCGTGGTGCACGTGCCTCTTCCTGATGAGAGGGAGATTGAGAGGAGGGTGTTGGAAAAGAAGAAGATGGATCTTTTGAGTAAGTATGTGAGTGAGGGCCTCTTGGAGGAGCAGACTGAGGCCAAGGACATGCTCAACATTCAGCGTTAGTTTGTTAGGTAGATCCTTGTGTTGATGGGTGTAATCTTGGGGTATTACATATCTTGTATTTTGTCAACACTTGTAATTTTATTCTGAGTCATTAGTGCAAGATTAATTTTATCTTATTCTAGTGTCTTGGGTGTTTCAGATGAAATCTGAGAATAGGGAGCTAAAAATTTTTGATCCAGTTATTTGGCACAAGGATAATGAGAAACAGATCTTAGAGGTACTGGCTATTGCTCAACATTCATCGTTAGTTAGTCTTTTGAAACCTTGGTCGGTGTTTTTTTCTTCTTGTGATTGGAATTTTGGTGGATAATTAGGTTGGTAGTCACTTTACATGTTGCAATTGAATTAGTTTAGATGTAAACAAATGAATGTGTTGCTCTAGGGATGCTTTTTGAGAAATTTTATGAATGGGTGGCTGGCAATTTATTGGGTGATGATGATGTGTTCATTGAGGGAATTGAAATGCACCATTTTGGTGTTTGAGTTTCTGTTTACTACAAGGATATGCCAATTGATACAGGTTTTTATTGAGAAACTAGGTTTTTTCTTGTTTGGATATTTAGTGGATAATTAGCTTCTATACTACTTATTATTACATGTTGCAAATTTGCGATTGATATATTTTAGATGCAGAGAAATGGATGTGTTGCTGCAGTGCTGCTTTTTGAGAAATGTTATGAATGGCCTATTTATTGGACGATGTTGACGTGTTCGTTGAGAAAAAATTGAAATGGATGCGATTTTGAGGTTCTGTTTGCCAGGGCTAAGACATGCAAATGGATGTGTGGTTTAGTTGCGTTGATTGATGTAATCTTGGGTTTTTTTTTATTATGATTGTTATATTACATATCCTGTATTTTGCCAACACTTCTAATTCTATTCTGAGTGATTATGCAAGATTAATTTCATTTTACCTAACTGTCAGCTCTGATTATGTATTTTAGAATTCTAATTTATGCCATTGAATTTCCGATAGTATTGTTTCTTCTATGATTTAAGAAACTTTTGGTTTTTATTGTGCTTGCTTTGAGTATTTTGAGCTTTGACTTATGGTTTCTTAATTTCACTCTTTTTTGGGTTTAAAATCTAGAAGGATTTCAGATAAGATATTCATGTTAATGATGAACTATTGATTTAGAATGTATATGATAATATATCAGTGTTTAAACTCAGTTGCTTGCATACAAATTTAATTTGTGATAGATTTATGATACAAATTAAATTTAGTCTTTCTTGATTGAATGAAGCTCTAGTAGTCTTGGCAGGTCTGCGATAGTTCACCTAGACAAAGCACATATTTTAATGGCTCTGTCATGTTTATAAACACATTATTCTTAATCAATTCTGAGTAGTAGTCTAGTAGATGACATACGTAAGCACATAAAAACCTATATCCAACTTGATGCATCAAGAACGATGAAGAAAAGGATAGATGAAATGAGGTAAAGCACAACACCTTAATTTCAATTATTTGTGATTGCCATGGTCCTTTTTGCGTCTGTGAAATGCAATGTGGAAATTTAATCTACAGTTCAGTGCAGTTTAATTTTCAGCATTGTGCCTATTGTTATGCTTCATTGTTCAACTCTTGTGAAACACTGTGCTAGTGTAGATACTTGATCTTATTAAATTAGGTGTAGAGAATGAAACCATTGTTATAAATAGCACACTTTTATTGAGAAGGGATCATAATGATATTACAAAAAGACCAGTGTATGACACTATTTTGAAAATAGAACCCACTTTAAAGCATGTCTGTTATTTGATTACGATTGGTATGTTAAAAATTACATGCCATTCTTTGAGGTGGCAGGAAGACATGTATAGGTGTAGATCTTTTAGTTTGGGTAGGAACTTTTTTGGAAGTAAAACTCATCTTGTAAGTGAATAGTCTGAGCCAAAGCAGAGACGATGATGAAATAGAGAAGTGAAGAGAAAATGAAGTGACAAAAAAAATGTTAAAACTGATATAGTAAACATGATTTAAAAGGTGACTGAAATGGGATGGGTTTTGGGTGGTAGTATACCCAGGTATCTTGGGAAATTATTCTGTCTCAGCAAGTACAAGTATTGTTCGTTTTTCTAATGCTCCCAGAGGTTTGGGACAGAGAGAGGTGGGTTACATGGGAGGGAATTGGAGACAGCTAGTTAGTTCAATACTTAACGGTTTTGATGCGAAGGATTGGGAATGTTGTTTATTAACTAGTGGAACCAGCAACCGCCGTGCAGATGTCACCATATCCCTTGCCATCTATTATATCATACAAATATAGAATGGTATCTATAAGCAATATGAAATTAAACCCAATTCCAAAGTAATGCTGTTGGGGAATTTTACAGGGATCAGCTTCATTTTCAATATCATCCTGTAAATCCTAATGCTGTTGCTGCAATTTACATATGCTGATCAGAAATCAAGTCAGAATGGTAACGTATATTCAATCTCCGGTTTGGCTCAGATTGATCGGCTATTTTATTTTTATTAAGCTAAAAAATGTGCAATTGGATTTTCAGCGTTCAGTTAGGGGTTTGGAGCAGATTGATTTGAGAGAGAAGTATATAGTGGGAACATGGAGGACTTTTGGGTAAGGATGACATCAGCTTTCTAAGAATTATGTGCCCTGTTGAGTGTTGATACAAGAGTTCAGCTTTCTATGTTTGGTTCCCAAATTCAGGCTGACATGGGGAGATTTGTGTCCCTACCCTTCTGATGAAGTTTTGGGTACCTATCTTCACTTTGATATCACATCATGTATGCACCTATCTTGCCAGTTTTAAAGTGAAAGCAATTGGGAGACGATTACTTCGAGGAAAAGTTGGAATGCATGCTAATTGCCCATTTTTTTATAGCTTTTTTCTTCTACTAAAATTCGTATGTTTCAAAACAAATGTAATTGTGAACAATGGATGAGTATGTATACAACAAAAATTATACAATTTATACGATTTCTTTTTTGTATTTCTTTCTCATTTTTTTATTATAATATATAAAGGTTACATGAATAAAATTACTCATATGAATAAGGAATATAATTTGGACAAAGATGTGAAATAATTTCGGCTATAATTTATATTTCTCCCGAAAATCATATTAAAGTTACCTTTTTTGGTTGGTACAAATCACGAGTCCCCCGCTGGATGTATGAAATAACCTTTTAAAATTATCTATTCATTCTGTCAAGATAATTTGTATCACTAAGAAGTATAACCACAGTACCTTTAACTGTGTAAGAGATGCGAGAAATTTAAGGGAGTGTATTGGATTAGGATTTCAAAAGATTTTTTTAGTTAAAAAATGTCATGTAGATTTTAAAAGATTTTACAGGAGTTTTATGATTTTTAAGATTTTGTAAGATTTTACAAGATTTTCAATCAGGATTTCAATGGATTCTGCAAGACTTTTAAGTTAAGATTTTAATAGATTTGGAGGACTTTGTGGACTTTTTTTGACATACAATAAGAATTCAAGATTTTTTTTTCATACAGTCAAATTTAAAAAGAATCAAAAACAAATTTTTTTTTTGGATAAATAATAATAATTCTTCGTAATATCATGTCCTTCAAAATAGTATTTACTCACATCCATATTTATAATAGTACTTAAAATATTAGCATCTTTTCGCTCTTGCTCCTAAATTTTAATAATAGACTCAAAATTATGATTTTCATTAACCACTAATGTTGAAGATGAAGGTTCGTCTATCACTCCAATTAAAAATTCATCAGAATAACATTTTTTACAAAAAAAAAAAATTATGTAGTATTACACATGCTAAAAATTATTCTAAATAACATTTCAAGAGTTAGCCCCACAACTTTCTTTGTAAAATCTTTTATTGAAGTAGAAATATAAAATGTTCCTTAATTCTTGTTTGTGAAAGTACAAAATTTCACTCCATTACCTGCACAACCATTCAAGTAATATGCATCCTCTTGAGCAATTGATCATCACATTGTTTTCTTTCTCTAAATTTTTTTTTGTTCTTCTGTTTTAAAGAGAAAAAAGAGGTATTAACATAATTTACCAACTTAAATGAGTTAGAATATTGTATTTATAACAAATTTTTAATAACTAGGTAGTGTAATTTGTTTTCATTGAGTCGAAAGTTGTATTTTTAATAACATACTTTTGTTCTACTGTATTAACTTCTCCAAAAATTAATACTTTTTTAGTTCACTAGAATAAAATTTGATATTAAGAGTTTTATAATATTCATGCACCTTACTCAATTAACTTAGCTAGATCTCTTCTAAAAGTTTATTTTTAATTTAAGAAGAGATTAATTTTAATTTATAAAAAAAATTATATTAATTTTGGCTCCCATCAATACTCATTAAACATGTTATCCTAACCGGAGATTACTCGGTATGAGCAAGTGTGCAGCAAATGGTTTCAAAGCCTATTTTGTGAGTTCAGTTCCAGCCTTCCAGGTAGACCATCAAGGTCTCGTTTGTTTACTATTTTCAAAAACACTTTTCTTTTTCCTAAATTTTGTTTGTGTTATGAGTATAGTCCAAAGTGATTGATTCCTGTGTATATTTATGTCTTTTAAAAAATTCTCCTCTCAAAACACTTGAAACAAAAGGAAGAGATGACAAACATGTTTTAATTGTTTTTGAGTTTTTAGTTGCGGATTTGTATTAAAAACAAATTGTATAATGAGAAAGGGAATCAAAGAAACCCTAAATTGTTGCATTTTATTCCTCACTTTCACACACCATAAGCAAGCGTTCTATCAGTAAGGGCAACAAGCAAAGCTAGCTAAACCTGTTTACTAGAGCCTTGTTCATAAGCTAGGATTAGGTTGTATAATGTTGTTGCTTTCCTCAAATATATTAGTCACATTTTTCGATTTGAATATTTTTTGTGAACAACAAAAAGTTTTCCCTGTTAACTTTGTAGTAAATTTTAGATGTGTTTATACAATAAAGATAAAAACCAAATCGTATATATGTTTATATAATTGTATACAATATTACATATGCCATCAATGATGAAATAATGAAACTGCCTTACATGCAAATATTCAGCACTAGGGAAACATTTACTAAAAAATCTTTCCTTTGTTTTTGAAGATACAAAAACATTTACTATTCTGAGAAGAAATCAGAAGAAATAGAAAAGAAATGTTTCCCTTTTGTCAAGTCAAATCCCATTAATATAGTGTTAATAATTTTGTGTTATTTATACACGAGATAACAGTAAATGTCACAAGATTTACAATGTTCTTTTGAGAACCTTGTATGTAGGAACATAATAGCAATTTCAATTGCTGAGCAGGCACTAAAAGTTATGTAGTTAGATCAGTGTTAGTTAGAAAAATAGAGAAATGGCAGAAAGTGATAATTTGCATTGATCAGTATACGATATATATATACATCAGCTTGATAATAGAATGCCTAACAATATGCTAAACAGATAAGAAAATCTTTCTATTGTTAAACAAATAATAAATAACTAATTAGATATATTTTGGTAGGGATATCAGAATATAACAAAATCTGTTATCCTTTAACATCCCCCCTCAAACGAGTGGGTGATTGAATCACACCGATTTTGTCTCTAAGTTGTGAGAATCTTGAGTGAGTGAGTGCTTTAGTTAAGCAATCAGCTATTTGATCAGAACTTGGAACATAGGGTATGCTGATTTGGTTTTGTAGAACTTGATCTCTAATAAAATGAATGTCAACCTCTATGTGTTTTGACCTGGCATGCATCACAGGATTCAATGCTAGTGCCTTTGCACTCAAGTTGTCACACCATAAAATTGGCTTCCTTGGCATAGGTAGTTTTATCTCCTGTAGTAGTGATTTAATCCATTTAACCTCGGCTGCTAAGTCTGCAAGTGCCCTGTATTCAGATTCTGTACTTGATCTAGAGACCACCTTTTGCTTCCTTGATGACCATGCAATGAGGGATTCTCCAAGAAAGACACATTGTCCTGCAATTGACTTTCTATCATTTATATTTGTGGCCCAATCTGCATCAGAAAAACTTGCTATATCGAGATCAGTCGAGGATTTGATATGCAAACAGTGGTTTATGGTTCCACAAAGATACCGTAGGATCCTTTTAATGCCCTGCCAGTGATCATCAGTTGGAGCACTCTTGTACTGGCTTAATTTATTTACTGAATAGGCAATGTCAGGCCTTGTATTCGTTAAATATTGAAGAGCACCAATAGCCTGTCTAAAAATAGTAGGATTCTTCATTGGCTCTCCTTCATTAGTGAATGACCTTCCTGTAACCATAGGTGTTGGACAAGAGGAAGCTTGATCCATTTTGAATTTCTTGAGGATATCTGCAATATATTTGGTTTGTTTGAGAAACATGCCACCACTGTCTCTATGCACTTCAATGCCAAGGAAGTAATGTAGCTTCCCAAGATCCTTTAGTGCAAAGACCACATTGAGTTGTTTGAAGAAAGCTTGCAAAAAATTAGTATTGCTTCCTGTAACAATTATGTCATCTACATAAATTAATAGGAAGGTAATATGATTCTCGCCTCTAAGAAAAAAAAGTGATGAGTCACTGCGAGTATTTTGAAACTCCCAATGGAGTAAAGCTTTCTTGAGTCTATCAAACCAAGATCTTGGTGCTTGTTTGAGTCCATAGATAGCTTTGATGAGTTTGCAGACATGGTGAGGCTTCTTAGGATCCGTGAATCCTTCAGGTTGATGCATAAATACTGTCTCCTTTAGATAGCCATATAGGAAGGTGTTGTTGATATCCATCTGTCGCACCTCCCAGTTGTAATGTATAGTTATAGCCAAGATGATCCTCACTGTGATAGCTTTAATTACAGGACTGGAAGTTTCATCAAAATCCACACCTGTAGTTTGTTGGAAACCTTTTGCAACCAGCCTAGCTTTTCTTCTTTCTACTGTCCCATCTTCTTTGTACTTGGTTTTAAAGACCCATTTAGAGTCAATGTCATTTTCCTGGCCTTGATAAGGTACCAAGGTCCAAGTTCCATTGGAAATTAAGGCTTTAAATTTAGAATTCAGGGCTTTTCTCCATTCTGATCTTTGAAGAGCTTCTGTTACTGTCTCTGGTTCTTTCTCTTCCTCATGTTTCTCAGTTGTTCCAATGTAAGGAAGTTTTGGCTTGAGAATTCCCGCCTTGCTCCTTGTACACATCCCATGAGTATTTGAGATTGGAATGGTGTTGTTGTCAACTGCTGCATCATCTGCTCTATTGCTGGTGTTTTGTGAGTTTTCTTCAGCTACTAGTTCAGATGAAGTCTCTGTTGGTTCTGCATCAATCTGTTGTTCATGAGTAGGTGATAAATCTTCTGCTGGAATTTGTGTGTTGTAGTTGTTCTGATGTTGATCACCATCATTTTGTGTGCTATTATTGGATTGATCTGCACTAATTGATCTGTAGGTTTCAAATCCATGATTATGGCTAATCCCTGCAGGAATCAAAGGATAGAAAAAGGAAGCTGGTTCAGTAAAAACTTCTGCTGATTTTTGTTTGTTGAGGAAGCCATCATGAAAAGGAAACTCATGTTCATTGAATATCACATGTCTTGAGATAAGGATTGATATGAACCCAGAGGGATGGATTTGTTTTACAGATCTATCTAGGTTTGAAAGCTCATAATTAAGAAATTAAAAGTAGAGTTCTGATGAGATAAACTACCGAAAGGCAGATGTATGTTGTCAGTATAGATAGTGCAAATTAATTCATTTAAGTCATCCTCAACTATACAATCTCATACTTATACTATCTTTGAATCCTTCTCATTTCGGTGTATTCGGACCGTTATAAAAACATAATAATATATATAATAATTATATTATCAATAATAATAATTATATTATATTTAATTAATCTTTATTTATATATATACTTACTTGTATAATTAACATTCTACTTATTTCTATCTAAAATTAATATTATGATACAATTTAAATTATTTATTATAAATTTAAAGTTTAAA